TTTTCTAACTATGAAGGCCTCAAAAGGTCTGATGGCAAATCACAGGGTCAGATGTCATCCATACACAGCACATATTGTTATACAACATCTCTGAAATCAAACTTAACTCAGATCAAGAGCTCCATTAAGACGTATGAAAAGCTACAGTTTTAAAAGAGACTACAAAAATATTTTCTTAAAATAGTTATTAAATTGGAGGGTACCTGGAATACTGAAGGGTGAAAGACTGAAACATTAGCCTGGGTAATTACAGGTTGCACAATTTCATATTATTCCTGCCACAAAATTACTTATGTCCCATGTGAGATGAAGGCTTCATTCCTCCACACTATGAAGCCATCCTGAAGTGACAGTCTGTAAAATGGAAATTATTTTCTTTTGGTCCAGTGCCAATAATAAAATATTGCTGAGGAATAACAGAAGTAGTCCTATATCCACAACAAGCAATACTAGAAATCCTGCTGCTCTGGAAAGGCAGCATTTGAACCAGGGAGGACAAAAACCTCCTATATATTATTTCTAGTTTAAATTGCTGCCTATTAAATGGAAATTGTTATTTTAAAAGTATAAGTCTCTCTGGATTTGGGTTACTTTGATGGAATGTGTTGCTGTGAGAGTATAGTTATAACATGACAATCCTACTGTGTCATAAGCATCTTATTTCATTTACAAAGTTCAAATGGAAGCAAACAAATAGACAAAACACATGAAAACTGAAAATAATAAAGATCAAGGGGGTTTCCAACATTACTTGAGACAGAGAAATGGAAGGAAATAGATATTAAAGTACTCTGTGAAGTAAAATGGAATTTGAAGTCCATGCAAGATACCTCAGAGAATGTGGGAGAGCCAAATGACAGAAAATTTGCATTTGGCAATAATTATAAAAATGCTGGCACAATTTTGAACTGAATATAAAAAGACCTATTGCAGAAGAATTTAGACTTTCTTCTATTCAAACTTGGCTTCTGTGTGGTATGTTTGGAGTATTTTGTTCATTCTGAGCATGATTTTTCAGAAAAATTGATGAATAGAAGGGAGCTCCAGAGAACAACGATTTCTTTTCATGGACTAGAGAACTCTGATGAAAGAATAAAGAAGTATGAGTATATTTTCAGACTAAAAGAAAACATATATGTGTCTAAATACATATTAAGCCAGTCCATAAATAATGAAGAATATAAACATCAAGAACTGAAAGAAGCATTCATAAATTTTCCAGAACACTCAAAAGGTAGGAAAGACCGTAAGGAAACATCTGTCTGGTGTTACATGCTAGAATTCATGTAGCTCTTCTGTGTTTTTTATAAAGTATTATCTTAAAATCTTAGGGCTCAAAATTACCTGCAGCGTGGATGAACAAGTTGTGAATACACATTGTCACACAGTTCAAGAATGTCTATCATCAGTTGAGGACAATATGTTGATTTCTACTGCTATTATCTAAGTACATAAAATTAGTCTCAGTGATGGGCAAACAAGACTTGGACAGAATCACACTAGAGACAAAGGATAAGGAAACAGCTAGAAGAATGTTAGGAGACAGACAAGTGAATTTTTTGAATGTACAATTTTGCAAAAGAATAAATGTAAAAATACAAAAGACAGAAAATTGAGCAGAGCACCCATATACATGAGATTTTTTCTCTCCCTTTGTACTGAGCAACAGAGAAAATATATAAATATCTCTGAAGGATTCCTAGTGATTGATAAAATTGCTGCAACATTATTTAATTTTTTTTCACAGAAGTTAATGTATATTGTTATCAACATTCTGTAAGAATTACCACTGAAGTATTGTAGTTCCAAGAAATAAATGTTTGCATCTGGAAATACAAAATTAAAGTTCCCTAAATTAACTTGAGCCATACTTGGATCTCTGTCCAGCAACAAAGACTTTTTAAATCAACAAGCAGACTGTATGAGCAAACTCCAGCAGAGATTTAAAGACTATTCCCATAATTTTTATGTGAAATTACACTGTAAAAAAAAAGTGGCTGTATCTAAAAAATTAGGCTTACACTTCAGCTTTAGTAGAAATGCAAACTACCACCAGCTGCCATAACAGTTAAGAATTCCAGCATTCACTAGTAATGCCTATAACTTACTTTCAAATTCAGCCATCCATTGAGTGAATTCGGTTTTTTAACACATGCATTTCATCACTTCTAGTTGTGTAGTCAAGAAAGTGAAGGATATTCACAATGCATAAGTAAAGTGACCTTCAACCCCCAAAATGTGAATCTTAGGAACTAATTCAAATGCTCCTCTCCATGCACGGACTACACCGAGGCTATAAATTTAGGGCTCAGACAGGCAAGGAAAATCAGATTATGTGAATATTCCTAAAATCTTCTATTCCATTACAAGAAAAAAATGTTATTACACATCACTGAAACAACTGCAACAACCTGGAATGGTTCTGATATATTGTTCAAAAGACAAAGTGAGTCAGGAAACTACTAATTTTTTGGGATGCTTAATTACATATTTCTGAGGTATCAAGAAGCCATTTTTAGCTATATCATGCTAAGCACTTAATTTCAATTTTATCAATAATTATAAAATTCAATTAATGCTGAGTCTTTGGGTTGCAATTATTCTTGATTACTGCCTTTATTGTGTAGGTACAATAGCAATTATATATCTATACTAGAAAAGAAACAGAGAAACCCACTTTCTAAGCCAAAGTACAGGGGAATTATGGAGAAGCAGGACTGAAACATACCAGTGGAAGTATGACTCAACAGACTACTGTCTATATTCTAAGGAAAAATATTATCAAATTAAATTCTTAAAAGTTTTAAATTAACATCTTAAAGATGACATCTCAATAGCGTAATACTATGACCCCATCCTTTCATTATCAGTTCAGTGATGAGAGTGTGCTGAACCAACACCATACACACAAGGGATGAAAACCATTTCCTACATCAATGCAAGTTTTCCTAAAGGCTTGTTATTGCACATTTCATGTTGACAAAATTAATTTTCCATTTTGGGTTTTCTCATTGACCCAAAAGACATAAAATATGGGGACAAAACTTAGGCTTCTTTGTAAGTTTTTATTATGACACATACTGGCAAACTGATTTTCTTCCCTTAAAAACATTTGTTTGAATGAATGATGTAATAAATCCCATCATAGGAACAATGCTTGCCATCACCACTCTGTCATAAACTTGGGACTCTCTATCTCCACTGTGATTTAAGTTAATGCAACTTAACTAAGTGAAAAGTGAGTAAAGACTCTCCTGTATGAGTTCTTTTTAAATATGGGAGTAATGTGACAGTCAGAACACTTGTTTCTGTTATGATCAGTCCAAGTCTTGCACATCTATTGTGCTTAAAAACAATGCAGTTTTTCTGCAGTACAAGTTATTTATGACTTCTATATCAATGTGTTTTTATTATACAGAGATACAGTAATAATTCAGATAATTTTCAGAATGGCTTACTCAACAAAACTGATGAAAAAAATCATCCCTGCCTGTGATAATTAGTTTGAGTAACAGCAATGCAGTGTAAAGAAAATACTAGGTGTTTATGTGCAGAGTTCTCATTTGTTTCTTTTTTGTCCCAAATGCCGCTTGAGAATCTGCGGCTAATTTTTTGCACTGGCTACAATGCTTCATCTGGTACTGCTGCCTAGGCTTGACCCTGCAGAACGAAAACTGAAGCAGAAATTCATCCCTCCTTCTACACAGTCCTGGTAACACAACCTTCAGAAGCATTATGTTAGCTTGCAAGCAAGAGACAAATTGAACCAACTCACTTTTCACTTGTGGTGGCTTTATCAAAGTGAATAACCTGCAAGATCAGTTTCACTAGGTGTCATGCTGTGTTCATCTTAACACTGTTCCCATTTCCTGATACACAGACTGCCCCCCACCCAGGTTTCAGTTACTCAAGGTTTCCAGTTCATCATCTAAAACCAGCAGAAGTAATGAACAGGAGCATTTAGTTAACATGTTTCTCTAGTTACACAAATATTATACAGGAAATTAAAAAATGTTTTTGGATTCCTAATGGGAAAAAAATTAACTTCAGGCATGCAGCAAAACACATTTGTAAGTAAAAAGCATTCTAGATATGCTATAAAGAACTCAAATAAACTTGAGAGTCTAAGAAATGGAAAACATACATGAGTACTTAAGAGAAATCTAGATATGTTTAATTATGCAAATAAACACAACTCAATTCTGCCCTTTAGTGAACATAATCATACCAAATAAAATACGTGATTTTAAAAGTTCATGTTAATCTAATTTGGAACTATACCAAAATACTTCAAGAACAATCACACAGTTATTTCACATGACAACTCATGGTCATGAACTCATTAGGTTAAGCTTCTCATTTTTCCCCATCTACTTTAGCTCCATGTTAGTGTAATGTAGGCAAATTTCCTGAGCAACATTTACTGGTACAGATTACCTCCACCTCTGTGCCTGTTTAGATTTTTTTGACAAGCAGATCCATAGTGACTTTGCATAGAATTTTTTCCCCCTTCTGTCTGCCTCATGCTCTTACCTACAATGCAGTAGTTGTCAATGCACTATTCTGCAAGAGAGAATTAAAGGATCTCTCTTATTCCACTCTTCCTTGCACAAGACATAACAAAAGCCACACAAGATTTTGCTTAGCAGTGTTGTACTGCAGTGCTAAGGAAAATTATGCCATAAAGTCATTAGAATTTTTTTTAGAATTAGAATGTTTTGTACAGGGACTGGAAAACCATTATAATATACCACATTTTAGTTTGAAAATCGTTTTGGGTCAGAAGCCAAGGTCAAAGTAATTCTCTTGTGCTATATTTTCTATTACTTTTTTCTGATTCCAAGTTGTGTAGCACTTAACCTGTCCACAGATACTGCAACGTAAAGTTAAAGAGGAAATTAAAAAAAAAAAAAAAAAAAAAAAAGTAAATCACCCCCCTCCTCCAGACTCGTGAATTTCTACACCGAAGGGCAGATTTTTCTATTCCAGGACTATCTCACCTCTGGAGTGACATCTCGCGGTGCAAACCCTGTTCCTCCAGTTGTTAAAATCAAATTAAGTTCCTTTTCATCACACCAATCTATCAGCGTCTCCTGAAAGAGAACATGAATCCTGTCAGATCTAGCAAGAAATGGTTATCTCAGATAATACCTGAAGACTTGAAATGTCTTAAAAACAGACACACACAAAATACTGAGAACTATAAACCACTCATGGCTTTTTATATAAAGATTTTAATCCACTATTTATAACCAAGATAAGACAGAATAATGCAAGTATCCACATAATATTATTTTGTGTACAAAAACTGAAATTCAGTTCTCCACCTCTTAACCTGAAACGGAAAACAAGAATTCACAGTAACTGATTTCTACCACTGTTTATTTTGATACAGAAATATAATATTCTTTGATACACATTAACAGACTATGTACATTTAATTCCGATTACATCACTGATTCTTTTTACAGTAACTTGAGTTCTCATGCTGCACTTTTTAATAGCCTGAAAAAGGCCACAACCATGTGTCTGCAAGCTTAACTACCAAAAGATGCAATAATGCACTTGATGCAGCAGGTGATGATCTCTATCCATCTTTCTTGCATTCCCCTAATATCTCAATACTAGTGTGTATAACCATTCCAAAGCTGGACTAAGAAATCTGTCATGTAAATTCAATTACTTACAATACTGGATAACTCATGATAATAGAGAAGCATTTAATTTGATTTGGGTTCATTTAAAAATGATGTTTTAAACATCATAGTTTTCAAATGATGATAAAAATTTGACATAAGCAGAAAAGTTATTTAATCTCAATGTGATTCAATCACTTTTCCTCTGTACTTGACTGTGGGCCAGCACAGCAGGAGCATGTCTGCTTGGAGTGCAAAATTAGCTGTGTTAAGCTTAAGTAGACTCATTACATAGAAAAGTATCCATCTGCACAGATCATATCAATTATTGAGACAGCTATCTGTATTCTAGCAAAGAAACAACACTATATGAAAATATTTAGGGCAAATTTAAGTTTTGGGAGTATTGGGAAGGAAGGAATAGTTTTGGAGATTGTTGGCTTAAACAAAATTAGCTCTGAGAAATATACTGACTTAAAAAGTTTAAAATAAAACTGGAACATTTTAAAAAGTACAAACAATTTAGGTAATCCTCAGCTGTATTTCTGCAGGCTTAGTACTACTATGCAACTTCCATTTAACAGAAGGACCATATACAGACACTTCAAAATTGCAACTAGAATAAGCCTGTGCTTCAGGTAAGCCCCACCACGCCAATTCATCCAAGGACTACTTGAAGTGGGTAAACCAAAGGTTCTGTTTTTATTTCTCCTTTCTTTACTCATTACTTCCACTTTCTCTTTTGTATTCTCTCTTCTCTTTATTAAAATCACATTAATCTTTTTACTCCACCCCTTTGGAGAATAACTCTAATTAACTGGGTTGTAAGTGAACATATCAGAAGTTTGTTACATGAACATTTCAAATAAGCTCAGGAAAAGAATAAGGATAGTGCCTCAAACCCATACATAAATAAATGAACTATTATGATGGCTCTTGTGTTCCATTTGGAAAAAAAAGTGATTTATGGCAGTAAAAAGGATTTTAGGTCTTAAAATTCTTTGCTTCAATAACATAGTTATGCATTAGGAAATTTATTTCAAAAGAGGTGGCATCTCTATCATCTGGAAACGTTTGTCTTTACTAAAACAGATACAAATTTCAGAGAACACTTCAGAGAAGTTCAATGTTTGGCAAAGTTAGACCTTAATATTGCACTTATTTTAAAAGTTAATATAGTCAGAAAAAAAACCTTCCTATATAAAACAGGATTGATAGACTTTGTGGGTTTGGTTTGTTTTATTTAAAAGCAAAATTTATCTTCAGATAAAATAAAATCTGCCAAACTCCTTTTAAGAAGAAAATATATCCTTCCTCTGTTCCCTTGCTACAGTTCAGTAATACTCCCATTAATAAGGGGGGTGGGGAAAAGTAATGTGATAGCCTACAAAAAACTAAAGAAATCAGTATCATAACTCTTCAGTTAAACTGAGCAATAATTAAGTGCCTATTCCTGCTACTCCATCAGTGTACCTAGGCAGACTCCTAGATGGAATTCCCCATCGAGTTCTAGTTATACTAAAGAAACTTTCAGGCTTTCAAGTAGAAGACCTTTAACTATGAGGCAGTAAGTTTGGGTTTCACTGTATTTTAGAAGTGCAAATTTATCACTTAGATATTTTAAAACCATGGAAAAATACCTGAGGCTTATATTCAGCTTATTTATTTTCCTCTCTAACCCAAAAAACTGTGCCCCACAAAATATTCTCATTGCTGTAGAAGTATCTAAAAAAGGAAGCCCCACACTGATAAATTGTGAACAAATTGTGGACTCAGATCAGGTAGATTCTCTATTGTCTTTGCAGGGAACTGAATTTTCTGTGTCTTCAAATGAAGATTTCTCTAGGCAAGTGACCTCATATTTGGCTTTACTGATGCTATACAAGCAAAATTGTTATATAACATTTCAACCAAAGAAAATTTCATTTAATATTTTTATGCATATTTCTCCTCTTCTATTGTTTCACTGATGATAAGCTCTCAAGAGAAAATGGCTAGGTCAACCGATTATGTAAAGCACTATTATTTCATTCAAGCCAATGAAATGATGCTGATGGATACAAAATACAGTAGCTGGCTCTAAAAACAGTCCAGTAAAATTACCACCAAGTTTTAAAAAGCCAGAACAAAGCTACAGAACTCCAGGGGGAAAAAAAACCCAACCAATAAATAGCTTAATACTTTTAACCATTAGTATCTTACATTGGGCTTTATCAGTTATTTTCCAGAGTCAAGATATATTATAACAGAAATTAAGTCATTACAGACAGTTCCTCCACAAATAATTTTATTTCAAAAGAACACAGCCTTTTCAGATTTCACTGAAGTCCTAGAATAATTATATTAATTATGTCTTTATGATGCACAGAAGTCAGGACAGTTGTCTCCTTAAGCTTTAGAGTACTTCTACTTCCCTGTCCTCTTTACCTAATTCCTCATATTTTCTCTTTTAAATACATTTAAATTACTCTCCTTCAAATGAGTAAGAAATCCTTAGGTATAACAAATAACCTATTTCCATCTCTTGCTCCAAAGAGTCCTTGCTTCTGCCAGCTCCCTCTCTCCCACAACCTGGAACTACTCATTGGACCTCCTATGCACTGCCCAATACTGAAATTACTTCAATTATAACACTACTCATCAAAAACATTTTTTATAATCTGTTTGAATTTTCTCATGACCAGTGTTAACTTCACCAGTGAAGGAAAACCCAGCCTCATTTTCTCCTCTGAGTGCTTAGTCTTTCACATGCAAATCTATTGATTTTAAGATCAATAAAAATCATTACCTCATGGAAAAAATGCCTACAGTGAGTGGCAGAGCACAGAGACCTTATATCTATGGCAGGTACATGCTTGCAAATTCATAAAGGCACCACCACATTAGGATACAGTAAGTCCAAAAGCTGTACAGAGGCAGTTTTGTGGCACCACACCTAAACTAGTGCTACCTGACATTTCAGTCAGTGATCAGTCTGAACACTCACAGACATATTTCTTTCTGTGGAGGTAACTTAAGCATCTCCATGTCCAAGAGGCAAACCTGCTGTTAGCCTATGCTGCAATGAGCAAGCCACAAAATTTTGTTAATTTTCTTTTGTATTTTAAACTAATTCCAGGGCTCAGGCTCTTCCCTACACCACCCTGCCTTGATCTACAGGGTTCAAGAGAGAGAAAATGCATCATGCTTTAATTTAGCAGGGTTTTCCAGCAACTTGTCATGATTATCATTAAGGATTGTTGTATTTCTAGTAACTCTTCCTTACTAATCATTTCTGTGGAATAATGCCCCACCATGCTACGTAAGAAACCTGATCACAGAATACACAATTACAATGGATAGGAAAGTGGGCTATTTTGTATCTCCATTAACAATCCTTTACCATCCTTTAATCTCTCTGTAAGCAAACTGGAAAAACAAATAGGGATTCTTTTCTGGAATGAGAGGAACAATGCCCTGATCTTTGGAGAAAGTTTGTGAATTACTTATCTTAGCCAGAAATTTAAACTTGACACAGGTTGCAGGTTTCCTCCAGTCCTCTTAGGGCTACTGTTATGGTGGTTTTCCACATAGACATCGAGACTACGACCCTTAACTGGAGCAGAAGTACTACAAAGCACACAAAAATGGTTGTTGTGGATCAGATTAAATGCCTACACAGACGACCTGAAGTCCTGATGACTTTTGCTTTTCTATGATGCTACAGTCTATGGTATGTCTTGCCTGTTTTTTATTGTCCTATTTTTGCCATCACTGCTATGAGAGTGTGAAAACACTCCCACATGTTTATACTTCCAAAATCACTAGAATATCTTCCTTCAAGTCAATATTCTGGTGCTTACCACTTAGATAAACACGTGTATGATTTTCTGATCAATACATAATTTACTTCAAAACACAAGGATTGTAAAAATAATTCTCAATACACATACATATTTTCATATACCATAACCACTAAAACATAACATATACACTGCTATAATTTAAAACATCCAGAAGGAACAGGGCAATGCTAAAACCAATATAAACAGGGCAGGTTTTCATAATTAATCCATACAGAATTCCTTCATTCTATATTCAGTATTGAAACTAGTTAATTCTTAATTCTACAGTTAACAAAGATGTTTGGCATTTTGGCACCTGCTGGATTTTTCCAGCACAGTGCAATCATGAAGTTATTTCACCCTATATGAATCACTAATCACACAGTAAGTAAAATATGTAAAATTTTAATTTAAGCTGCTGAACAAATACAAGTGTTAAATATTTATGTTAAATATTATATTTATGTTAAATATGTTATGTGTTAAAAATTTAATTATGCAACAATACACATTTATTTACATTGGACTTTGAAATGTAGGTAAGTCAGTATAAGCTGGTTTACAGACATGCATAGTATGCAGAAGTATTCTCAAAACAACTTCATGTGACTTAAAAGATCACTGTGGCTTCCA